CTCAGTTTTCCTAGCGGCGTCTTTATAAAGCGAAGCAAAAACCAGCGGCAAAAATACAGGAACACGTTTTTCTATTACATTGAAGACCACATGCAAAAACTCAGCTAATTTGGAGCAAGAAAAAAGAAAAGCAACCAAAATCGTCACTTATCCCCTTTTATGACTAGCTTCTTCATATATTAGTGGAGTTAGCCTAAGGGGCCTGGCTATCTGAAATAACTAGAGAGTTGAGAAGGGCAGGCAGCTACAGGTAGGTCTACAGATGTATTTTAATACATCTGTATTAAATCTGTATTATTTCATCTGCATCTTTCATCTTTCCGTTCCTTTGACAAACCATGATCCGAGAGATCTTGGATTGACCTGTTGGGTAAAGAAACGCAAAATCCGTTTTCGGATTCTTTCGGATTTAAGAATCCAATCTTGGACAATTTTCTTAAAGAAACGCACCTGAAGTGTTTACCTACTTACTTACTTTCTAAATAAGTACTTTACTAGAACATTTGGTAATGCTATAGAGTAGGAGGAATGTAGAGCAAATAAAAGCTAATGTAAGTGCTCCTAGAATCTTTTGCACAAAATATGCTGGCAAAAGCACTCAACAGGCACGAATGACACTCAAAGGCAAACTGCATGTTCTCACACAGCTGGCATGCAAAACATGTGAGCCCTGCAAAACCAGTGTTTCCACCAGAGCGTGCCATTGTGGGAGTCCCACGCTGCAATCGGAGATGGCCTCCAGAAAAACGAGAAAAGGGCCAATTTATCCCTTTCCTTTTACAAGACTTCAGGCTTAACACAGGCATAGTATTTTAAAAGCCATTATGCAGGGCTCGAAATTACAACTGCCAATGCAACTAACATTTCATCCTTGGCGACTACATTTCTCTGTGTTGACGATCAATAACGACTATTTTGTCACACATTATGTCGTTCTAGAAAATCATATTGGAAGATCTTTGCTTCTAAAGCACTCAACATAAGAAAAGAAGTCAATCCATCCTTTTGCTTTGCTGCAGTAATGATTCTCGGAAAACTTCCAAATGGCTGACCGTGTATGAAATTGCCCTATAATGGATTGTAAACCCTACGTCATGTATGCCGAATGATTGTTCTCTCAGTATGCACGGATCCTTCATACCAGTATCTGATTCAAAAGAAACTTTATTGAGTAGAAACACTTCAAAAAGAACTTATTAAATTTTATCATAGATCCTAGATAAACTGCTTTATTTTCCCTGGTACCCTGATGCATTTTTCCCTTCTGTAGCTTTCAATTTACTGGTCCCTTTCCTAAAAAATTGGCCCCTAAAAAAGGTCTTCGGGGGTCACTTTGGCCCTCAACTAAAATTATCTGGCTGAAACACTGAAAACCCTGTATGAGACCCCACCAACTATGATCTCCCTGAGAGACTGCTGGCCAGCATTGGCTCGACTCAAACTTTGCCTAAATTACATTTAGGCCCATGAAATTCATATCAAATTTATAGTTAATCTCTAATACAATGTGGACTTAATTTAATTTCATCTGTTTGTTTCCTAAAACAGCCAAGCAAAATAACAAGCCCAGAGCACGTATTTAAAAATGAAAATGTCAGGGAGCAATCATCAATAAGTGGAGGACAAGAAACTCTCTCTATTCCTGATGACAACCATGTACCAGTTTCTGCTAGCCTTTTCCAAGGTCAGCTATTAATCGAAAATAATTTATCACCATCACAAAGCACTGGAAATGTTTCATCTGATGAGTACATCTTGACTGAATTACAACCACGGAATTTTCAACCTCCCACATGTGTTCCCTCTTTAAGCCAAGGGAAGTACCCACAAAATGGAAGTTGGTTTGTGGAGTTGAATGAATTGAATGGTCAGAATGACATTGATCAGCAAGAAGGGGAAGACAGCATTTTTCACGACGGTGAGGAAGAGATTGACAGTGTCTTGGAGATGCACAGTGAAATTCAACAATGCTTGAGTTTGAATAGAGATTACCAGGTAATCATATTTTTTTGCATGTCGTCAACAGGTACCTTTGCCCGATTTATGCTGAAACTGTTTTCTGATCATAGAAATAATTATGTTTTTGCTTGGAATAAAACTAAGTGGCAAAGCTAGGAAGTTATAAACATATGAACCTAAAAAGGAAAATAATGTTGTAATTTATTGCCCAAGTGATACTTTTGCAAAAGATTGCAAATTGTTCTGACATTGCTCAGGAAATCCCTTACCATTTTGCTCTTAACAATGGACCTTGCAAATCACAGAAGACATCACAGACACATAATGTAGTGTAGATGGTCAGCCTTTCACAGCATTGAAGCATGTGGACACTCTCTATTAAGTGGACACCAGGGAAGGTTCAAAGGGTGTCCAGTTGATATAGGTTTCATGGTATTTGTTATCCACTTCAATGTAAAATGGCAATCCTAACTAAAGAAAATCACCCTTAAGGGGAACTTTTGTTATGTCTACTTTTATTCTTGAAGACTTTCAAATCACCTTAATATTAAACATGACATTCTTTTACAGTTGGCAATACTAGATGAGCTTGAGAGAATTGAAATTGCTTTGGCAAAGAACAGGGAAAAACAGGTATTTTACTTTGGGAAATGTCTGCTCTCCTATACTGTGAGGTGAAGTCTGCATTATTTTGTCACTAATAGCCCATCAGTCCAGCACTTATCTCTGTTTTCTGTACCATGAAGTGACTAGGAGTATTTCTACTCCCCCGTGGATTGGAGGCTTGTCTGGTAACAGTTACCCCCCGCATTAACTTTGTGGGCACCCATTTACATGTATGCACCTGGTTTGTGAAGCCACTGTAAGAGTAAAGCATCTCTCCCAAGAACGCAACACAGTCCACAGTCTGGGCTCGACCCAGATCGTTTGATCCTGAATTCAGTGCACTAACCATCAGGCTGCCTACCCTGTCCTTCATGATAGTCAACATCAGATATTGCTGAAATAGAACGCTTGTTGGAAATGGTAAAAACAAAACAACACAAAACAAAAACAAAAACAAAAACAAATAAAAGAGTAATAAATTGTATTATTGTTTGTCTCACGATGTAGTCACTTGAGATGTAGATCGCGACATTTTGACTGCTTACTGCTAGTCTTCTTCAGGCAATAAGGTCGACTGATTGCACGGTATCATTTATATCACAAAGGTCGGCTGTGATTGGTGCATTTCGATCCTCCTGTTGTTCCATTGTTCTGGTGAGTAGCTGTTCCCTCAATGGTCCGCTGTTTTACTGTTCTGCCCGATCAAGAAACATAACACCAGGAGAACAGTGGAACAATAGGAGGATCGAAATGCACCAATCAGAGCCGACCTTTGTGATATAAATGATACCGTGCGATCAGTCAACCTTATCGCCTGAAGAAGACTAGCAATAGGCAGTTGAAACGTCACGATCTACATCTCAAGTGACTACATCGTGAGACAAACAATAATACACTTTATTATTGCATCTACCAGGATGAATAACAACAACCTTTTCCTCGAAATAAAAGAGTTATTAAATAATGTTTTTTCTGAATTAAAATTTAGTATGGATTACATCAGATGAGGGCAAACAAAGATGAAGGAAAACCTGAACCTCACACGTTAGCCAAGTTTGCCAATCCATATTTCAAAGACACAAGTTCAGTGGTAAGCTATGCAATCTATTTGTAGATGCATCTTATTGAAGGTGTATGCTATTTCCTTGCTGTCAATCTAAATTTGATTGAGAAAACTTGGGGATTTCTTTTTGGCCATACGGTGGTATCCCAATGTCTTCAAGCTCAATAACCTCTGGATAACTTGAACCAAAAATCATTTTCCTCCCCTCAGTTGAATACCGTAATTTTACCCCCTGATTTTTCGAACTACCTGATTTTTCAAAGCAATTTTCACTTCCGTTGGAGATTCAAGAATCTGTATATTCCACTGTAGTGAGCGCAGGAGAACAAAATAAATTATTATAGTAGAAATTCTCAAGGGGTGGTAGAAGGGAAACATTTTTATCGAGCAACACAAAATGGCACACAAACTGCAAACATCTTTGCTTGTCAATCAAAAATGCACATTTTAAAGAGTTCTGGAGTCTGATTTCACAATATAATAACTCACTGAAGGCACCCTGGAAAAGGTATGCAAAAAATCGAACCAAAATCAAAACTTGGAATCAAAGAATTGTGAATCAAACTGAACAGTTGTAGTCGTAATTAATCAAGAATTCAATTAATCATTACACTGCTAGAAATCACCTCAGAGATGGTGTTCGTATGATATGGTAGAAATTGAATTGAAGACTGCATTTGTTGCTCAAGTTGTTTGATGAAGAACCTTGGTCTTATTGATGACATTTACAGGGACCTCCAGATAATGAGGACACCAAAATCAAGAGGCAGAGCTGTCATTTTGAAGGTTACCAAACTTCATCAAAATTCTGTAAGTGAACTTGGGACCCACTGGAGAAAAATATAAACTACAATCCTGTATTTAATATTCGTGTTCTGTATTTTAATAATAATTTGTGAAGTCCTTAAAGTGCCACTGAAACGAAATTTTCGTATTCTGTTTTATTATCCCAATCTATAGTTTTAAACGTGCTTAAAGTAATGGTGAACTTTATTTCTGTCAAATCCTAACGGAAAGTGGTTTTTTTAGCTGTTGAAATCGACTTTTTGGAGCAAAACTGTG